AGGGACGGTGCAGAGATTGACGAGGTGAGTGAAGAGACTGTTCACTTGCATGGAAGGTCTGAGGGATTGTAGCTTTGATATGCTTGCATGAAGCTGCACGATTTGAGCAATAAGGACGTCTTCTGGGATCTGGGTTTCCAAGTTGAAGTTTTGGAAGGAAGCCATTGCTGCTGATGAGCTTTTAAGTGATTTGAAATGAGCTCAAATTTGAGAAGAGAAACTGATTAAACTAAGAACACAAGCTTCTTGCGTTGAAAAAATCAAGAGATTGCTTCAGGTATATATAGGAGCAGAAGCCAGGATGTATTTGCTATACGAGAACTGAATTTTAAAGTATATGTTAAATAATATTGTTAAATTAATATTATGAGTTCACGGCCTTGAATCCTCAATGACGTACTGAAGAGGGGTGTTTCATGCCTTCAAGTTTTGCCAGTCCAGTTTTGGGAAAGGCAAATCCTACAGACTTGGCATGTATTAAAATAGTTAGAAGGTTCCCATGCAATTTTTTTAAAATAAAACCTCCTCTGCATTGCGGGGGCCTGCATGGCTGAATCATTTGAGACGCTAAAAGTATTAATAATTAAACCAAGGACTATGTTTAATGTCGTGTGTACAATATAAGCAGCCTTCTTTTAAAATTTTGCTTCATCCAAAATATAAAGTTTATTCATATTTTATTAAGTAATCAATGAGAATGTTTTGAATAATGTTTTGAATAAGTCAAATATTATATTTATTATATTCAATGATATAATTTGAAAGATGTGGGTAAATTAGTTAACAATTATTTATATTGTGCCTGTAGGAAGTACATATCATATATCTAATTGATATATAAATTATCTATGCAACAATTGAAAGATACTTTTTTGTCATAAATATTATTGAGAGTTAGATGTGAAATCGTATGAAAAATGAATGTTTGAATGATTGTCTCATTGCTTATAAAAGCAAGAGAATCATTGAATGATTTTGAAATTTCTAGTTTTGTCGCGAAAATGAATGTATTTCATGTCATGGATTACGTAACACTATTAATAACGAGCACTGCGCATAATACGTGGAACAGAAGATTGGAAAAATGAAGAAATAGGGATGGATGGATTTAATTTTGATTGTAAATAAGTATATGTTAATGCTAGGTCGTTGCCCGTAAGTAACGCGCTGCATGGCTCGAATACAGTGATAAGTGAGTTAGAGCCGCTGCATCGGCGCCCGGATGTAGTGTTAAATGAGCAAGGGCTACCGCGTCATTCTGGACGCACGCGGCTAAAGAAGTTAGTTCATAAGAGCAAAATTAGATTTGGTACTTGGAATGTTGGGACATTAAATTGTAAATCTGTAGAGGTTGTAGGGGTTATGATTCAAAGGAAAATCAATATCCTTTGCTTGCAAGAAACAAAATGGCGTGGAGAAGAAGCTAAGGATATTCAAGGTTTCAAACTTTGGTATACAGGAAAAGTAAGTGCACGCAATGGAGTAGGCATCATTATAGATAAGGAGTGGAAGAAGAATGTTGTAGAAGTTAGCAGAATTGGAGACAGAATTATTTCTTTAAAAATGATAATTGGACGTGAGACTGTTAATATTGTTAGCGCTTATGCGCCGCAAGTCGGGACAGAAGCCAGTCTTAAGGAATTATTTTGGGAGGATCTGGAGGGGTTGATTCGACACATACCACAGAGTGAAAAGATTTTTATTGGAGGAGACTTTAATGGGCATGTCGGGAGGGAAGCTGGTCAGTATGCGAGGGTGCATGGTGGTTTTGGTTTTGGAGAGCTAAACAATGAAGGGCAAACTCTTCTTGATTTCTCATTGGCGTATGATTTTAAGATTGCCAACACTTGTTTCAAGAAGAGAGATGAGCATCTCATCACCTACAAAAGTGGAGCCTCAAGGTCGCAGATTGATTTTCTTTTGGTTAGGAACACAGATAGAAAACTTTGTAAAAATTGTAAGGTGATCCCTGGAGATGCTGTAACGACACAACATAGGGTCCTAGTCCTTGATGTGTGTATTATGAGTAAAATCCAAAAACGTCGACAAGTAGTAACACCAAGGATTAGGTGGTGGCAATTAAAAGGTGAGAAGCAAGATATTTTCAAGCGAAATCTTTTGGATAAAGGAATTTGGGATTCTCAGGGAAGTGCTAACATCATATGGGAGGATATGGCTAAAAAGATACGGGAGGTTGCAAAAGTAGTTTTGGGAGAATCGAAAGGTCCTGGTCCGAGAGATAAGGAGTCTTGGTGGTGGAATAATAGTGTACAGGACAAAATCAAGTATAAGAAGAACTGTTTTAAAGCCATACATTTGTGTAACAATGAGGAAAATTGGGAGAGGTACCGTATGGCTAAGAAGGAAACTAAGAGAGCTGTGGGTGAAGCTCGTTCTAAAGCTTTTGAAGAATTTTATAAGAACCTTGAGACGAAGGAAGGAGAGCAAAATATTTATAAGATTGCCAAGAGCAGGGAAAGAAAATCAAGAGATCTAGAACAGGTAAGGTGTATTAAGGATGAAGAGGGAAGAATTTTAGTTACAGATGATGAAATTAAAAATAGATGGGAGACTTATTTTTCTAAACTTTTCAATGATGGAGAGGATTCATCTAGTAACTTGGAGGATTTAGTAACTGGTGAAGGAGAACAAAATTTGTCATTCTATCGAAAAATACGTGATAAGGAGGTAAAGGAAGCTCTTAAGAAAATGGCAAATGGTAGAGCGAACGGACCTGATTGTATATCTATCGAAGCGTGGAAATGTTTAGGTGAAGAAGGGGTGAGATGGTTAACTAAGTTATTTAATGTGATTTTACGGTCCAAGAAAATGCCTGATGAGTGGAGGAGAAGTACATTAATTCCTATTTATAAAAATAAAGGAGATATTCAGAATTGTACTAACTATAGAGGGATTAAACTCATGAGCCACACAATGAAATTGTGGGAGAAAGTAATTGAGCACAGGTTGAGATTGGAGACAAGTATTTCTGAGAATCAATTTGGTTTTATGCCAGGTAGATCAACTACAGAGGCGATTTATCTACTAAGGGGATTAATGGAAAAGTATCGTTGTAAAGATAAAGATCTACACATGGTTTTTATTGATTTGGAAAAAGCTTATGACCGTATACCAAGAGAAGTGCTTTGGAAAGCGTTGGAAAAAAAGGGAGTACGGATTGCTTATATTAAAGCCATACAAGATATGTATGAGGGGGTAAAAACTAGTATAAGAACGCCTAGTGGTCAAACAAAGGATTTTCCTATAAAGATTGGGCTACATCAGGGATCATCTCTGAGTCCTTATTTGTTCAACTTGATTTTAAATGTTTTGACGGAACATATTCAAGAGGAAATCCCGAAATGTATGCTCTTCGCGGATGATATAGTTCTTATAGCAGAGACAAGAGAAGAGGTTAATTGCAAACTTGAGTTATGGAGGAGGACATTGGAGTTGAAAGGTTTTCGTCTGAGTAGAAGTAAGACGGAATATTTATATTGTAAATTTGATAAAGGACTATTCGAAAATAATTTGGAAGTGAAATTAGGAGATCAAATTATACCTCAAGTGAAAAAGTTTAGATATTTGGGAGCCATTATCCAAAATGATGGCGAAATCAGTGGAGATATTTCACATAGAATTCAAGCTGGGTGATTTAATTGGAGAAAAGCTAAAGGAGTTATTTGTGACCGTAAGGTGCCTAATAAACTTAAAGGAAAGTTTTATCGTACTGCTATCAGACCGGCAATGTTATATAGTAGTGAATGCTGGGCTCTAACGGGACAGCAAGAGCATAAAGTTGGAGTAGCAGAGATGAGAATGTTACGATGGATGTGCGGACATACACGTAAAGATAAAATTCGAAATGAGCACATACGTGAAAAAGTGAGGGTGGCAGCTATTGAGGAAAAAATGGTAGAAAATCGGTTGAGATGGTTTGGGCATGTACAAAGAAGACCAAGGGAGGCACCAGTGAGAAGAGTGGAACATATAACTTTGAGTCCGATTAAGAGAGGTAGAGGAAGGCCTAAGAGAACACTCTTGGAAGTTGTTGAACGTGATCTCTTAATTAATAATATTTCTAAAAGCTTAATAAATGATAGAGCACAATGGCGTCTTGCAATCCATGTAGCCGATCCCACCTAATGGGATAAAGGCTTGTTGTTGTTGTTGTTGTTGTTGTAAATAAGTATATGTGACGTAAGGATTATAATAAACATGAGTTTGAGCATGCACGTGCGAGTGATGTGCTTAAATATTTAAAGAATAAGAGACACGATCATTGGTTTCACACTTGGGAATAGCGAAGCAGACATTGAAGGAAGCAAAAGCATATAATCAGGCATTCAGAGTTCACACAACCAAGAAGACAAAATTTAAGATTTCATGTTTACGCCCGCATGGAGCTTGCCTTTGCAGCTAGTGTTCCTCTGAAAACCACACATATGACGTATTAATACTTTTATGACAACTTCACCTTATTATGTTTCAATAAATTACTCACCTACTGCCACCATTTCTCTTCTAAAGAAATTTCACTTCGATAAATTTTTCATTATATTTAAATGTCAATAGCAGTTTGTGTACCTTCAATATATATACAATTTTAGTAAAATTAAAAAAATTATATTAATCTTATACATGTACAAATTTATGCATTTTTTTTTACAAAATTTTATAATCATTTATATTACTTACTTTTTTAGCCTATTCCCTCTAACATAGTATTTAACAAAATAACTTAAAGCAATTGGAATATTTGAAATTTTTAAGACTAAAATGAGGTAATATATTATAGGAGATGTGGAACATACATAATTTAAAATATATAGTTATGTAGCTTGATAGTCTGATTCCTAATTTCTTCTCATGCTCTACGTGGCTTTTTCCTATTTTATAAATCCGCAAGCGGTCAATTCTAATCTGTTGATATAATCTCCGGAAAAAAAAAAAATAAAAAGAAGAAGAAGAAGAAGAAGAAGAACGTAACAGTATGTAGCTGCGTGGCAAACGAAGAGGTGAAGTTCCCTTCGGTTCTGGATATCCTTGCTGCCGCAATTCCTGACGTAATAATTACAAAATCGAATCGATGAATAAAGTTGCAGCTAGAAGCCACTAGAATTCTAAACCACCTTCCCCTGCCGATTCCTTGCACTTATATATGTAACCATCACCAGCTTTTCTTCTAACATCCATACTCATAGATTCTTTGCTGTGATCTCGAGGTTGAGGTTCAACAATGGCAGACGAAGTGATTCTCCTGGATTTCTGGCCAAGCCCATTTGGGATGAGGGTCCGAATCGCTCTGGCAGAGAAGGGAATAGAGTACGAAGGAAGAGAAGAAGACTTGAGCAACAAGAGCCCTCTGCTTCTGAAGATGAACCCTGTTCACAAGCAAATCCCAGTCTTGATTCACAACGGTAAACCCATCTCTGAATCTCTCATCATTCTCCAATACATCGACGAGGTCTGGAATCAAAGCCCCAAATTACTTCCCTCTGATCCCTACCAGCGAGCCAATGCCAGATTCTGGGCCGACTACATCGACAAGAAGGTTTGTCTAAATCCAGTCATGTTCGTTCTCACTTATGCGTAACCAAATAGAATGTCAAAAAATCCCAGATTGATTGAACTCTTGAACTTATTCATCGTTTTTGAATTTCTGAAATTGTAGATATATTCGACTGGGAGATTGGTGTGGGCAACTACAGGGGAAGTGCAAGAAAGAGCGAAGAATGAGCTGAGAGAATGCTTCAAGAAGTTGGAAGTAGAGTTAGGGAACAAGACTTTCTTTGGTGGTGACATGTTTGGTCTGGTTGATGTGGCTCTGATACCCTTTTACAGTTGGTTCTTCACGCTTGAGACAACCGGAAAATTCAGCATCGCCGACGAGTTTCCGAGCCTGGTGGCTTGGGCTAAGAGGTGCATGCAGAGGGAGACTGTGGCTAAGTCTGTGCCTGACCAGTACAAAATTTATGACTTCCTCTTAGAGCTTAAGAAGAAGCTTCAACCTCAGCTTCAGCAGTAATACTGAAATGTGATGTACTTGTAGTAGTGAGTTCCTTAGTTGATTCTAGTGTTTGAATCCGATTACGGTCACTCTCGTTTCTGCGTACGCTGTGTGTGTTTCTTTTTTCTTTGTTCTGGAATGTGCCTTTGTCTCATTTTGGTTTGTAAGATATGGTAAGAATCGATCCATAATTATAGACAATAAATAACTTTGCTTTAGCCTTTTATATGGTGTGATTAATGCAACCCAATTTATGAAGCATCAAAAGAATTACAGAAAAAAAAAGAGTAGAATTATTGCATTTGTTAGGATTTGGAATTGATGATTATACATTTGAATTGTTAAAATTTAGGTCTATAATTATAAAGTTAATTATACTTCATTTAAGATAAATGAATAAATAAATTTATTTAAATTGTTAAATTGAATATCTTTAACAAGTATCGGCACTTGGTGTTGTTCTGAGTACAGCCATCATTGCAAATTCATTTTTAATCAGTACAAGTGAAACTAGATACACATCATCTGCTGCGGCTAAATTTATTTAAAAATAAAATAAAAAAAACTCAAGAAGAGCCAAACAATCATGAAACTCCAAAGCAGAGAAATCTCAGACACAAACAAATATAAATGGAAGAATGTGAGACAAATGAGAAAAACAACACCAAAAGTCAAAACCTAAGTGATGTCAGTCTCGTGTCTATTATTTATTGAAATCAATCCGACGAGTCACGAATCAGCAAAACCATGCCTCCTTTATTCTTCTCACAGCACACAAAAAACTCAGAAATAGCTGGAACAAAAACTAGAAGGTGCTGGAGAAAACTGGTCTCTCAGAGAGACACAGCACAGAGGAAGAACCACAACAAGTGGAGGAACAGAGACAAGAGTGACCACCAAAATCCTTGTCTTCCTCAACAATGGTGTCCAGCATTTTCTTCATCCCGCGACGCGTGACAGAAATAAACCTCGGAGGAGCAACCTCTGTGACCACCCTCGCAGATTTGAACTTGGCCATTTTCTGTTACAGAAAACAAAGTAGAGCAATCTATGGTTTCCCAAGCTATCATGAAAGAGAGAGAGAGAGAGAGAGAGAGAGAGAGAGAGAGAGATGAATGCAATGCATGAAGCGAGGTATGGGATTGGTTGATTTATAGGGATGAGGATTGGTGAAATTGTGGCGCAAAGTTCCTGAATATTGAAGCAAGTTGCTTTCAATGGTCGGTCACGTTGTGGGGCCGCATCAATAAAGCAGTGTCCTTCATCAACCAAAAGGTACAGTGTCCTTCCCTTGCATGCCTTTCCTGTATCACACACCTTGATTAATCCCAATTTTCTGGACATGCCATTGAGAGGGGGAAAAATGATTGAGAATTTGAGATCAAAGAAACTAAAAGATTCCCAGTTTTATTCTTTCTCTTCAAACCATGCCTTGGGTTATAGTGCACAAGATCTGGAGAGCTAGTGTTTGATTTAGATTTGGTGAGTAACCCAAATTTATTAATGAGTGTATTAATTATAATTATTAAATTTTTTTCAACACTTGAAAATTGTTAAGATACATTTCTATGCAAACATTTAAAACAATTCTCATAATTAAAACATCATGTATATTTTTCCTTTCTAAGTATTAGAAGACAAAATTTTTGATAGTTTTGGTTTTGTTTAAATCGATGATTGTTTATACTATATGAGACGCTTATTGAGTGAATGAATTTAGGTCACATATTATATCTAAATCAATTTGATTTCAAGTAAACCACATACTAAAACGATGATTTAGAAGAAAGAATTCTTTTGTGATTTATAACATGAAAATAACCATGAGTATCATGAATCCTCTTACCCATTAATTGTCTACTAGAGTTGTAGGATTTTATAAATGCTTGAGAAATTATGTTTAACCAAAAACAAATGAAACATTAAATTAAAGGGTTAGTTATATGAGAATGCATTTCAATTATTTCACTATAATTATATGAATTGTTAGATTAAGGTATAGGGCACACCAAAAGATAGAGTTGTGATTTGGTGTTCTTCCTGTATCTTGTGCCTACATCTCCAACAATCATTTGATTGAATCGGCAATCTCTAATGTCACGTGAGACATTCATTAGAGAAAATGATTTAAGACATTTATTGAATTCTAATCCGCATGAGAAGGAAAAATAAAATTAGGATTCCTAATGATTGGGACAAAAGGTGAGCATTGAATTCGGAGAGTGATGAGAGTGAAATGTGAGTTTGTGAGGCAGTGAGGATGTGGTTTGCAGCCTTAGCTGCATCAACACGACATTGGTAGGGAAAGGGGACATTCGGCTCTTCTATGATCGTACAAATAATGTATATAATATATGTGTTGACAAATAAAAGGGGACCAAGTATAAAATAGAGTAAATTTGATATATATAAAATAAAAATAATAATTCTTGAGAATGCCAGCTTGCCGTTGAAGAACAGGTTTGTTAGTTTGCTGGTGTACGAAAACGAGTTTCACATGGCCTTCTCGTCGTTATCGATATCATTCCACGAAACAAATTGCCCAAACTAGAGAAACAAACAATCTAACAGTACTTCCCTCATATCTCTCAATATCGTTCTTTTCTTTCTTTCCTTTTTTAAGAAAATATTTTTATAGCTTTCTGTCAAAAAAATTTCTTAGTGCCATGGAGAGATTTACCATTTGCTCTCTGTAAACTGGAGGAGATACTTTATGCTGTTGATAGGGTCTCCTTCTTGCATTCACTAAAAAATTTCTTTTGAGAAATAATATATTTTACTATTATTTATTGATGATTTATGCTTAGTAATAAGAAGGAAAAATTAATTTTTCCTAGCTTTATCATGTGAGATAGATGAAAGTATTTGTCTGTTAATTATAAGACGGAAACACTTTCATACTAGACATTGACACGCAAGTTCTAACATATAGATCACATTACCATAATATATAATTAGTGAGATGAGAAACTGAAAATTATAACATATAAAGCATATTCTAGTTTGTTCACTAATCAGAACCTCTTCAATTAAACATGCCATCCCCAAACAATTCCAAAAAGTAACAAAGTGCCAACGATAATTTGTCAAATGTGTGGAATTGGCATTACTCTATGAGGAATATTATTTGACTCAAAAGAATCAAATTCAAGAACTAGGGGGCAAAAGAAAAGGGAAGCCACCTTCATCTGCCGTCAAAAGAAAGTTGTTTATCTCAATGTGCTAGTAAGAAATGTTAACATATAGTAGGAATATTATTTGCTTTTATCATATTACACACAGACACACGCGCGAAATGAAATATATAGTATTTATTATATTATAATTAATTTTTTCAATAATATGGATGCTAATTTTATATTTTGAAAAATATATTGTACTTTTGTTAGTTTTCCATTTCATTTTAGATGAGGTTATTTCCACAACAACGATACCATGCATGCATTGTAGCACTCAACAAGTTTATCTTTCAAGTCACCTTAATTTGAGGGAAATTAAAGGATTAAAACGGTAAAGATTCAATTTTTACTTGTGAAAGTATCAGATTATATGATAGTTTTCCTTACACTACGTTACATTTGTTTATTGTATAAAAATAATTAAAAAAAAAGATAGAAAGATAATGGACATGTTAATGATGGTACTATTGTAAATTTACAGCGATATTGATAAACAGCATAAATACGATTAAAGTACGATTACGGAAAAGAGTACTTGAGGAAAGTACATTGTCCCCCCCCCTCCTAAATGCTCGTCCACGTAGTCAATTTCTACAATTAATGCAAACAAGATTTTTTTTTTCTCAAAAATGAAAATCATGAAATTTTTACAATAGATTCAAATAGATTTTTTTTTTGGGGGGTCTATTTTGAACCACAACCACAAGAGACCGATACGAAAAACACTGGATTAATGTGTCACAGAAACACCCATAACGTGTAAAAGGTTGAGCCTGATCATTTCCCACCAAGTGCCCATTAATTACTCCCTCTGTCCTTGTGGGTAAGAAATTTTTTAAAACTTTTTTTATTTTTAAATATAAAAAATTATTAACATATTTTTAAATGAATGAACCATTATATCTTTATTAAATTAAAAAAAATAAATACTCCTATTAATTTACTCTGAAAAAAGACTCATTTTGTATTTACAATAATTAAGAAGAAAATTAAAATGTTAACATACTTCTAATTAAATAATTAACTTTTATTAATTTATATAATTTGATTAAAAACATTTTATATATAAAAATAAAGATAGTATGTTTTAGTAGATGATTCATTGCTTTGGAGGTGATGAAGTTGCTTGGCATTCAGCAGTTTTCATTCTTTTGTCCTTTAAGAAGATTGTCTATACGTCTAATAAACGAGTAATAATTAGATGCTCCTTCACTTCATATTCATATAATGAAAGAAGGTATAAGGCTCAGATTCATTTAGTATATTTAAAAAAAAAAAACGGTGATTTAAGTAAAGTGCCAGAATTAATCATCAACGTGTCCTGTCTTGGTTGGGTCAAGTAACTCAAGTAGTGTGTGTGTGTGTGTGTGTGTGTGTTATATTTGGTCCATTGAAGAACATGAGTAATAAAAACACACATTTTCATGCAAAGTGCACATTCAGCTACCGAAAGCCATGGCAAAATCGAATGAGTAAACAAGTTTCTTTATTTTTGGCGTTGTCTCCCTCCATCCAAGGACACGAGCAATAACTAACAAGACTCACATAAACATACCAGGTTAACTTCATGCGAATGCATAGATTTAGCTAGAAACCATGGAAACCGCATCAGTAAAACGAGTTTCCTTATTCTCATCTCAGTGTCTGTCCATCAAAGAACCTTGACATAGCTAACCATCCTAAACCAGAATACTGTAATTAGAGTCTTACCTAAAATTCCCTGGCATTTTCCAATTAAGATGTTTTCTGTTTAGTCCAATTGATTCTTCTTCCTGTAGGCTAAGACAAACTCGTAGATCTCCTTCTCATCAGCAAGTGTTGCAAGTGATTTGACAACACTTGCTCTCCTCAAGCATCTCTTAGCCCATTCAATGATTTTAGGATATCCTGCTTCCACTTTGAAGTTCCATATTGTCTCGTAAACATAGAACTATTTATAGAATGGGAACAAAGCAACATCCACAAACCCAAACGTGTCGCCTCCGAAACATGGTTTGTCTCTGAGAAACTCCTCGAATTGCTTCAAGTTCTCAATCAGTTCCTTCTTTGCCTGCTCATGCCCTTTAACTTTTGCTCCCCAAATCCTCTTGACAAACATCATGAACCTGCATATTCTGATAGCACTTTCACTGCTGACAAATATCCTTTTTGACAGTGATGATAAAACTGATACCAACCTCGGAAGTAATGAGATCAGCACAGAATTTGGCTTGAGCTCTCTGATAAGGATCAGAGGGGAGTAATGGAGCTTCACGACCGTTCCAGACCTCATCAATGTACTCGACAATTATTAGTGACTCATTGATGGATTTGCCGTTATGGATCAGAACTGGGATCTTCCTGTGAACTGGGTTCATTTGCAGAAGCACAGAGCTCTTATTGGTCAGATCTTGTTCCTTGTACTCGTACTTACACCTTTCTCGGCCAAGGCAACCCTAGCCCTCATCCCAAACATGCATACGTTGGCATCCAGCAAAACAACGTCGCCCGCCATTGTCAAAGACAACCACAGAAATCTCTAGCAGAAAGAGTGAAGCATACAGACCAGAACTGGATATTTTAAGAACAGAGAATGGAAATACATTAAAGAAAACTGGATCATCGGCAAGGTTTCAGTCCAGCCTTGAGTGTCGGTAGTCGAACGTAGTCCACAAGTTTTTGTTTCCCTTATCACTTTTTATGTGAGAATATGGAATGCGGACCACCCCATCCTTTTCATCAAGCTTGTTTCAATATTCCAATATGGAAAAGTATTTATACAGGAGATAACTATGTAACTGAAAATAGAAACAAATCTGTACAATAATTAAAAATATATAAAATGAAAGAATGATATCATATAATATCAGCTATCATATAATAACAGCCTATGTTAGTCATTGGTCGGTCACAAAACCTGTGGATACTAATTCATCTAGAAATTCCATATCGCTAGAGGAACACTATTTGACCTTACATTTATCAACAAATCTTGAAGGATGCAGAGGCATGTAGAGAATATCAGGTTAGTTGAGGACTCCTCAGTCTATCAAAGGTCAAAAGCTTGGCTTCCCATCCAAAAATGCCTCAATTTGTAACTGATAGGTACTGTAAAAGAAAATTTTACTTTCATGTTGAGCAACAGAACATGTGAGATATACATTAGGAAGGAGTAACTTGTGCGATTCCATATCATTAGCTGTTCAGAAGAGCAACATTGGACTTCCTGGACATGAGGAAACAAGAAATCTTGAAGACACAACAAAGATTCTAACCGTAAAGGAACATGTGATTGGTTCCTTGCAGAGTGTTTGATGTATAGAATATATATCGATAAAATAATGTATATTATATATTTGTAGACAAATAAAAGGCACCAAGAGTGTAAAATAAAGTAAATTTCATATATACAAACTTAAAAAAAATTCCCTCCATCTTATTTTGTAACACATTTTTGAAGTGAATTCATCATATTATAATTAATTTTTCCAATAACATGGATATTTTTTTTAAAAAATTATTTTGTACTTTTGCTAGTTCTATTTCATTTTAGATAAAAGGTTATTTGCATAAGAATGACACCATGCATTGTAATGCTTAACAAGTTGATCTTTCAAGTTACCTTAATTTTTTTTTTTGACCAAGTTACCTTAATTTGAGTTTGAGGACTTGAGGAACAAGAGAATCCCGGTTCTCCTCTAAATGAACCCGGTTCACAAGGAAATTCCGGTTCTCATTCACAAAGATAGATATATCTCTGAGGCCCTCATTGCGGTCCAATGCCTCAGATCCTAAACTAATTCTGGGCTGACTATGCTGATAAGAGGGGATCTTATAACTCTCATTCCATCAAAACACAACTTTTCATATTATTCTTTAGTTTTCACAAAAGCTCTATGACCTTCATTTATTTTTAGACCAAGTCTACTTGTAAATCTATTCATAATTATCAATACATCAACATCAAAATAGATTATAAAAATACTCTAAACAAGTCATTTACTTGTTATAAATAGTACGACTTATTCTCAAGTCTTCACATGTCAAGACTGGGTAATGCATAATCAAACATGTTAGTTGAGGAGTCTATTTTGGTTCTAAATGTAAAACCATAATCTCATTTGTCTCTCATATTTATTATTTTTTCCAAAACTACCTTTATAGTGAGATTCTTGTAAGATATATAAGTTATGTTGATAATACTCCAATATAAATAATTAAAAGACGGGGTATTTTAGAAATACAAGTACATATAACTAACTTACCTAATTTTCTTAATTTATGTAAATTAGTTAATTAGTTTATACATTTAGAACCGAAAGAAGTAGGTAAATCGAAATAGATATGAAGTGGGAAGAGAGTGGAAACAGGCAAAGGAGAACATCTAATAAAAGAGTGTGTCTTCATCTCTTCCTGATCAGCACAAAGTGTGTATGAGTTCCTTTTGGAGATAATGAAGTTATCCGCCACTCAATAGGTTAATTTCATGTTCTCATGTTTCTTTCTTCATCTTAAATTTGCTTCAACTTTTAATAAAGATACATCTCTTAAACGAACAATTAGATGCGCCTTCACTACATGTTCAGATAACAAGTTGTAAAGCTCAGATTCATTATGTGCTGTAAGTATATCTAAAAAAATGTTGATTTAGGTAAAGTGCCAGAATCAACCAACTTGTCCTGTCTTGGCTGGGTTGAGTCAATCAAGTAGTGCGCGCGCGCGCGCGTTAGATAGTCTTCATTGAAGAACATGAGTAATAAAACACATTTTCATGCATTCGGCTACTAAAAGCCACAGAAATCTAGGATGAGTAAAATACGGCCATGAGTAATAACTAATAAGACACACGGAAATATGCCAGGTTCTTTTACAATGCAAAGACACTAAGATGTGTCTAATAATTTCATGCAACTTCATATATTCAGCCAGCCAAACCATGGAAACCTCGTCAGTAAAACAAGTTTCCTTATTCTCTCAAGTCTGTCCATCAAAGAAACCTAGACAAACCCAACCATCCTGAACCAGGATACTTTAATTCGCGTCTTACCTAAAATTCCCTGGCCTTTTCCAATTAAGATGTTTTCTATTTAGTCCAACTGAAGCTTCTTCCTGTAGCCCAAGACAAACTCGTAGATCTCCTTCTCATCAGCAAGTGATTTGACAACACTTTCTCTCTTCAAGCATCTCTTAGCCCATTCGATGATTTTAGGACACTCTGATTCCACTTTGAAGTTCCCTATTTTCTCATAAACATAGAACCATTTATAAAATGGGATCAAAGCAACATCCACAAAACCAAACGTGTCACCACCGAAATATGGTTTGTCTCCAAGAACCTCCTCCAATTGCTTCAAGTTCTCAATCAGTTCCTTTTTCGCCTGCTCATGCTCTTCAACTTTTCCAACCCAAATCCTCTTTCCAACCTCATGAACCTGCATATTTTGATAACACTATCAGTACTGATAAATATCATTTTAGACAGTGATAAAACTGATACCAACCTTGGAACCAATGAAATCAGCCCAGAATTTGGCTTGAGCTCTCTGATAAGGATCAGAGGGGAGTAATGGAGCTTCACCCTTCCAGACCTCATCAATGTACTCAACAATTATTAGTGATTCATTTATGGCTTTGCCGTGATGGATCAGAACTGGGATCTTCTTGTGAATTGGGTTCATTTGCAGAAGCAGAGGGCTCTTGTTGGTCAGATCCTGTTCCTTGTACTCATACTTAACGCCTTTCTCGGCCAAGGCAACCCTAGCCCTCATCCCAAACATGCTTACCTTTGCATCCAACAGAAGAACCTCGTCTGCCATAATCCAAGACGACTACTGAAATCTCTAGCTGAATGACTGAAACAGTGAGGCGCAAGAACTGGAAATTTTGAGTACACAGAATGGATGATCGGCAACGTTTTGGTCCAGTTTTGTGTGTCCATATATGGTTGAACGTCTTCCACATGTTTCCTTATCCAAATTAGCTCAGACGGTAAACATTATTCTTTTGTTTTTGTTTTTGTTTTGGCCAAAAGGCAGTAAACATTATTCGAGTAAACAGACTGTTCATCGTGGTCACTAGACAGCCACAAAACTTGTGTATAGTAAATCACGAAGGCTAGAAATTCCATGCCGTTAGAGGAACACTATTTGACTTTCCATTTATCAACCAATCTTGAAGCATGCTGAGGGCTAATATGTAAAGAATCTCAGGTAAGTTAAAAGGGCTCTTCAGTCTATCAAAGGTTAAAGCAGGACACACCTACTTGATTGCTAGAGGGGCCAACTGCCCTCACCAAATATATATATATATATATATAACTCAAAAAACTTTTTTTACCTCCTAAAATGTTTCAATTGCGTTCTATTGAAAGAAAAAATTAATTTTTTTTTTGGCCAAGAAGGAAAACAAAAAAAGATAATAAATTTTTTTTAAAATATGTAAATAACAATTTGATCTTTCAAAATATTATGATTCTCCTAAAATTTTTAAAGACTTTTCTATCATTAATAAATTTACATAAATTATTAAATTATCCTTATTAAAAATAAATAATTCACAAGTTTTATTTAAATATTTACAACTTTTTTTCTTATATTCTTAATAATACAATAGCAAATAAAGAATTTAATATATGAAGTTGTGATTTACTATTATATTATTGCGAATATAAAAAGAAAAATTACGAATATTTAAACTAAGCAATTTGGTAATTTATACAATTCATTAATGATAGAAAACTTTCTAAAGACTTCAAAGAAATTATGATATTTTGAGAGACTAAATTATCATTTATATATTTTAAAATAATTTTATTGTCATTTTTTCAAAGAAAAATCAATTTACCTCCTTAAAAGTTTCACTTATCTCTCCCAAATCTAACCTATATGTTATAATTCTAAATAATGATATAATTTAGGAATAAAGGGATAATATTTTAAAAAATATTTTTTAACTTGTTTAAATAAAAAAATTATCCCAAAAAATATTCTAATACTGAAAAGTGGTTAAATTTTATTTATATTAGATAGTTTTATTTAACACACCATTATAATTGTATGCTTTATACCTTATTCTCTAACAATTATTTAACAAATTTTTACCCCCACTGCCAAATTTTTCCGGGTCCGTGACTAGTTAAAAGTTTGGCTTCCCGTCCAGAAATGCTTCAAATTTTAACTAATAGATATTGTAAAATAAAATTTTACAATATGTTGAGCAACAGAGCGTGTTAGAAATACATTAGGAAGGAGCAACTCGTGAGATTCAATATCATTCGCAGCTCAGTAAGAACAGCATTTGACTTATGAATATGAGAAAGCAAGAAATCCTGAACACAGAACAAAGATTCTAACCGTAAAGGAACATGTGGTAGACACTCTCAAAAACATCTGATTCTCCTGATTCAGAGGCACATCCTGGCACTGAGACCACAATCAATTGTCTGCCTCAATACAGTCAAGGGCCAAGCAGTCCATTACTTCTATTTTCTTTTCTTTTTTGTGTGTTCTCTTGTCGAGTATTTTCTCTTCAATTAACCCCAAAAAACAAAAAAAAAAACTCATTGGTGTCCTTGTAACCTGCAAGAGACTTGGAAACGTTCTCCCCTTACATGCATCTCTGGTTATATTCCAACAATCACTAGTTTAAAACCATGAAGGATAAGCAACAAACTAATTTAGAATTCATATGCGATTTTTAACATATTGATAATTAGTTTTCTTTCCGTTAGCAAGACTAATTTTCTCGGGTTAAGTCTTTACCAATAAAAATTAGTTGCAGCATAAGAAGATAATTTTGGGATGAAGGATAAATTGATTAAGAGGTTATAATTGCGGTTTTGAATTAATTTAGTAACAAACATGTCATGGTACTACAGAATGCCATGGGTGTGGATGAGTCCATAGTTTGACTTTTCACACCTCAGAAACCACAAGTCAACAAATGCTGAAGAAATAACCTAGTGTTTTTTTCTTCCCCTTATTATTGTAAAAGAACATCAACAACACATTCTTACAATCAACTAATTTTACTGTAATCAACAGACACAACCAAGTCTTCGTTCTCAAACACACCAAACTCAGGCATGTTTTTCATCAAACTAATTATTTTTGTTTATTCTTGGCACAGGTTCTTCAACTCGCATATGTTTCTCCAATCCAATTGACTTTTCTTTCTGAAGTCAACAACAAAATTGTAGATCTCCTTCTCACCAGCAAGAGACTTGGAAACGCTTTCCCTGTGGATGCATCTCTGAGCCCAGGCAATGAGCTTAGGACAATGCGTTTCCACCTTGAAGTGGCATAATTGCTCGTAAGTGTAAAACCAGTTATAGAATGGAATCAAAGCAACGTCAATAAACCCGAAGGTTTCACCTCCAAAGAAAGTATTATATCCCAGCGTCTCTTCCAATTGCTTCAAGCCCTCTATCATCTCCTTCTTTGCCTCCTCTATTTCTTCTCTCTTTCCTGCCCATATCCTTCCTCCAACATCTCCCACCTGCATTTAATTACCATATGATCCATGTATTGAAGTTATGTATCATGACTCGGATTGAGTCTATATCAGTGCAGATAACGCCTTGAGAACTAGATCAAGAGGTGCCGGAGAATTAGGAAACTACCTTCTTGTTGACAAAATCAGCCCAGAATCTGGCTTGAGCTTTGAGGTAAGGATCAGAGGGAAGTAAAGGAGCTGTGTGGTTCCAAACTTGGTCGATGTATTCAATTATTATGAGGGATTCACAGATGGGTTTGCCTTTGTGAATAAGGACAGGGATCTTCTTGTGAATTGGGTTCATTTGCAGAAGCAGAGGGCTCTTGTTGCTCAGGTCCTCTTCCTTGTACTCGTATTTGATTCCCTTCTCAGCCAACGCTATCCTGGCTCTCATCCCAAACATGCTCAGCCACTCGTCCAATAGCACCACCTCTTCTTCTTCCGCCATTGTTCAACTCAGATGAATCTTTCACTTGTGCAGGGCACAAGTACGAGGAAGATATTATAGGTGATTGATCTCAACCACTAATTCCTTCTTTTTTCTTTTTTTTCCCTTCTTTATTTATTATTCTGTGCTCACCTGTTGCTTTCTGGTAGATTCCTTCAACTCCAATATACTCATCCATTCTTTTTTATGTTTTTAATTAAAAGTCAGAGATTAAGATCATCTTGCACGTGAATGATATAAGATTTGAAGACCTTTAAGCGGACAATGAGACTTAAATATGCCCTTGATGTTCTGAAATTTTCATAAGAAAACGCACTAAGCTCTTGCTTACTTTTACTGCTGATGTTTCATTGTAATTATAGTTTACAGGCAAACCAGTGAATTGCATCCGACAAACTAATGTCAATTATTGAGATTATCAATAAGTAGACAAACCCAAGTGGAACCAGCTCATTGATTAGATAACCATGATTGAGATTGAGGTACACTGTATACAAAGATGTCGGCTGTTGATTCCCTAATATGCATGGAATATTTGGTTGGTAAAAAATAGATATGGTGCAGTAATTTGCTTAGAATCAGCCTAGGCGAGCCTAGATGATTTCTTGTAGGCCAAAACAGACTCGTAGACTTGCTTCTCGTCCCCAAGAGATTTGGACACACTTTCCCTCATCTTGCATCTCTTAGCCCAAGCTATGAGTTTAGGGCACTCTTCCTCTATCTTGAAGTTACCAAACGTCTCGTAGGTATAAAACCAGCAATAAAAAGGAATGAGAGCAACATCAACAAAGCCAAACATGTCACCCCCAAAATAAACCTTGTCCCCAAGCTCCTCCTCCATTTGGTTCAAGCTCTCTATGAACTCATTCTTCGCCTTCACTTGCTCTTCTCCATTCGAATTCCATATTCTCCTGGAAGCTCCATACACCTGCACTTTTTCAAGCTCTCTGTGAGACATGCCTGTGCATTTGTAAGTAAATTAAATTGGTGGTGTTAAGGCCTTGAAGGAATCTTTCTACCTTGAGATCAACGAAATTAGCCCAGAATCTGGCTCGAGCTCTGAGATAAGGATCAGAGGGAAGTAAAGGAGCTGTGTGGTTCCAAACTTGATCGATATATTCGACTATTATGAGGGACTCGCAGATGGGTTTGCCATTGTGAATGAGGACTGGAATGTTCTTCTGAATTGGGTTCATTTGCAGAAGCAGAGGGCTCTTGTTCGTCAGATCTTGTTCCAGGCGCTTATATTGAACTCCTTTCTCGGCCAGAGCAATGCTAGCCCTCATCCCAAACATACTGAAGCCACAGTCTAATACAACAATCTCCACCTTATCATCAGCCATTGTTAAAGAAGCTGTAGAGCGATGAGTGCTAAAGAAGAATACGCAGTCTAATATGATTTTTTTTTTAATACTAATATGAATTTGTTGATTATATTTTACATACGCAATCTCCAACTGCGGAAAAGTCAGTAGAGACGGCCTGAGCTCGTAGGAATTGCATTGGGTCATTTACTAAAGGGTCCACACTCAAATGGACTCGTCAGTTCTATTTCTGTTGAGAAAATGGTAAAAAGATTGGATCTAGTTCCAAAAGCAAAAAAGCAACAGGTAAACAAAAGAAAAATAACTCATGGAACTTGGTTTGGTTTTCATTTCATAAACAATGTTTTATTTTTAAAAATTAAAAAAATTAAAAAAATTGTTTGAATAAGTATTTTAAATTTAATTATTTCCAAAATTATTCTATTTTGTTCTGAGAAATAATTTTAAAAACTGAATTATAAAAGAGATTTTAAAAATAAAAAATAAAAACACAACCAAACAAACTATTAATGTGCAGAGGTTTGAATCTCCTGAGATTTTTTATTTTATATATAATAAAATATTATTCAGAACTGGCATTCATCAATTAAATTAATTGAATTGTCATATTTATCGAATAGTAACTTGTCTGGACAAACTCCAGGATGAACACGAT